ATAAAGACTGCTAATTAAACTGACTAAGCAAATGACCTACGACCTATGAAATATTGGCTTCAGTTTCCATAATAGATATTGGAGAAGAACAGTCTTGTTAAAATTTCTCTCGTTCTACAATGTTATAATATTTCATTTAATTAAAGTTTTATATATTTATAGGTTTAATTAGTCAACCAAATGTAGCGCCACTTCAGCACATAAAATACTCTATCATAGCCAAACATCACATAGTATATACCTATCAACAAAACTTGTAATTAAATTTGATTTAAGTTATCGAATATCCATTTTATCTATAGGATCTACCTGAGTTTCATAGCTAATTATAGGTAATTTTCAGTAGCTAAATGCTCGATGTTTATTGTTTCACATCAAGTATACGTTTCAAATTTTAGGGAAAACCTAAGACATCTTTAGTGCTTACAGAGAACTTTTTTAATATGCAGTAGTCCCTCAGTCGGGTGGGTCTGGGCAATCAAGCGCAGACATTGCTAATTGCATGGCACTTTCATTAAGTTATCTATGCCCATACCTGGGCAGTAAATAGAATCATCAGAGTTCGATAAACGTTATCAGCCAATCACTTTTATAGCTGCTGATTAATGAAGTTGAACGTGAAGCGCCCAATGCCCAATACCCAATGCCCAATGCCGAGTGTCGTATATGTTGAATGCCGTTTCCCGATTGCCGTCGATTGCCGCCGGCAGCCGCTCAGCTCATTTAATTGCTCCGTTGGCGACTTGGTTGTAAATAAGGCAAAGAGCAGAGCACAAACTGAAGCACAAAGAGCACGCAGAGCAGACGTCTCGCGGCCCATCACCAATATCAACAGGCAACAGTTGCCGCTGGCTGCTGCTGTTGCTGCTGCTGCTGTTGCTGCTGTTGTTGTTGGTGGTGGTAACATTGCTGGTGGTGTTGGTGTGGTGCGGTGCAGTGCTGTGCATTGTGGCTCATTGTGTCCGCGTGTCTGGCGCACTGCGTTGCCTGTCAGCTCTTAAACGGCCGACTGCAACATTCTTTGCTGACAACGCAGTAATTAAAATTCAATTGCAATTAAAAGTGCGCACGCAAAACGGGCAACGACAAACGAAATGAAGTGCAATGCCGCGAGGGGGCGGGGGGCCGGGGGGACGGGGCCGTTAAGGACGAGGCAGACGAGACGGACGAGACGGACGAGTGCAGAGTGCGCATTGCTGAAGAAATTTGTCGCATATCCGACATTTTACCTTATGCTCGATACATGTGCAATATGTAGAGTCGGCTGCTGCTCTCGGGCCCTGGCAACGGGGCCCTTGCCACTTGTTGTGTTTGCCCGCATTTCGCGTAGGCGTTTGAGGTGCCGCTGATTAGCTTGCAGTTCCCAAGTTGTGTGTAGACTGTCAAATCAGATGTGTATGGTATGCGTTATATGAGCTGCTTGCGGATCTCTAAATATTTGCTGAGGCAAAAGTGCTTAGCCAACAGCAGCGGGCCGTCAGTGCCTGGGAAAATGCTCTCTAATCGAAGGGCTTCGTGGAAGCAATTCGAAGTATTTAGTCGCAGTGGATATTACTGCGAATGATATCATTGAAAAGCTGAAATCAAAAAGCAACCAATTCGTAATTAACTTCAGCCAAAGATATGCAAGTGTCGATCCGACCCTTACGTGGCCTTCGCTTCTGCAATACTCGCTGCAGTTCGCGTGAATTTTCCACATTGGCCATTTCCATTGGCAGTCAGCAGAAAATTGAAATTATTAATAAGTGCAAAATTAATAGGAATTGTAAACAATTACTGTCCAATGGCTCGTCTTGGCTGTTGCCTTTGACTCGACACTTTCGCGTGCATTTAAAGGTGTTTCTTTTTTGTTGATGAAGCTAATGACCGAACGTTTAGACAGGTGCCTCTTGGCACTCTGCTCCGATCCAATGAGTATATGGATCGCTGAGTGGCAACTGTTTTTCAAAGCCGAAACTTGTATTCATTGGGCAATTTATATGTCATTATCATATGCAAATACAATTCGTATTCATATTTTTAAATATCCATAGCATGCATGTATGTATGTGTGTGTGTGTGTGTGTGTGTATATGTGTTTGTGTGTATGCCAATCCAGTTCATGGCAAACTCGTTGCTAGTGTCAGCGGCATGAAACATGCCAATCAGTTCGTCTCTTTTTGTGATTGTTATTTGGTGTTCATTAAATAACGGGAGGCACTGTACGTAATATGATTTGCATACACACGCATACCAAGAGCATACATTATGTATGTGTGTGTGTGTGTGTGTGTGGGTGTATGTATACTTAGCTATTTCAGCGGACTGAGGCTTATCCACCCCCATTATGTTCAGCTGAACATAATTAATTGCAAGCTGTTGTTGAAATACAATACGAATACCCTAGGCCCGAGCACTGGCCAGGGCGGGCATATCAACTCTTATCTATTGGGGAATGTTTGGAAACATAAATGAGGGATTACGATGTATTCATAGCTAGGATTCCTAGAGAGTGCTGAGGATCTCCTTTGGGCTATCTCATATATTTACACAGAATATGCCAATTGGTACTCAAAGCTGATCACGTCAATGTGTGTTGGCTATGCATTTAATTAGTTTTGAAAACTGATATTAATAATATTGATTAAATGAAATATTGGTGCTCTAGTGATTAAGTAATAAACTCAATTAGTTAGTCAATAAGCAAATAAGATAATTTCAGTAATTTCGGCCAGTGTCATTAATAGCACGCAGATTGAACAAGTCCCGCATAATTGTCACGGAATATCTCCAAAATAATTCGCAAATAATTCCATCATTTATGTAGTTCAGCTGTGGAGCGGCATTCGGTGGCTGCGTTGTTGCCATTTCAATTATGTTGACATTAATTTTCATATTTAATTTAACGCGAAAATAAAATGGCAGCACGACTGACCGCCGCAAAAGCAGCTGAGAGGACACGCGTGAATACGCACACAAACACACATAAATACATGCACACATACATACATACAGGGATCGTAGAAGCTCACGTGCAAAGCTGGCGGAGCAGCATACACACATACATATGTACATATATGGCAATACATGCAGGAGAGACTACAACAACATTTGCGAAATCCATTTTGCAGTAAAAACCGCATGCATTATTTAAATTTTAAGTGAAATCAATTACAAGCTCGTTGGCAGCGTTGGAGGGGCGTGGCGGGGCAGGGGGCGGGGGCGGTGCCCAAGGCTTTTGATGTTAAATGCCAACCGCCGACGAATGGCAACAAAGGGGCACATAGAGCATACGGCACGGAAAACGGTAAATGACAACGCCAGCAGCAGCGGCAGCGGCAGCAGCAGACGGCGAGGGCGACGGAAGTGCGCATAAATGCAGTTGCAGTCGAATAAATAAATAAAAATATATTTTGCCATTAAATTTCAATTAATAACAACGCAAACACACACACGTCCAGGGCATCAGCGCAGTTGTTGTTGTTGCAGTTGCTGTTGGTGTTGGTGTTGCTGCATTCACAGCTGCGACGGCTGCTGCAATATTAATACATTTTGGCAGTCGTGCGTGCGCTGATTGCCGCAAGCCCATGAAATTAAGTCACAAATTAATTAATTAATGCAATCAATACGTGCGACATTTGCATTTGCAATTACAATTATGGTTTCGCATTGCTTGGCTGCCAGTTAAATGCAACAATTTCTTGCGCTCTAAATATAGTTACACACACACGCATGCATATGTATGTATGTGTATATGCAACTCTACAGCTGGCGGAGGTCGTTTGCCAGTTTAGATTTGGACACACACACACACACACACACACAGAGTGTATGCATATACCACCTAAACAGGAGCCCTGGCGAACATAATTTTTTAATGGACTTTTAATGTTAGTCGCCTGCATTTCACTCTGTGTGTGCGTGTGTGTGTGTGTGTGTGTGTCTGTGTCTCGCGTGTGCTTTTGGGGTCAACTTGGTTGCTTGGGCACAATTAGCGGCTGCTTGTACTTAACATATGTCAGCCGCATAGGTGGGTTTTCCGCAGACAAAACACTAAGAATCAGTTGGCAATCGGGCTGAAAAGTTGACCAATTGAAGTTAGAAGATTAGTGTCATTGACTTGTCGAAATAAAGCCTAAACTAAGTGGGGATATTGACAAAAATCAAATAAAACATGAATTATTTAATACTGTTTGTCAGGTGACATAATTAATTAATTAATATGAAACAATTAATTTTTTAAATTCTATTTTGGCAAAATTAACTAGATTTAGATTTAAATTTTAATTTTGGTTATTTTTATTTAAGTTTTATGAGCACAAGTAAATTAAATGTCCATGGAATTCCTAGAACATGAAATTCCTGCTGGAGCTCGTGAGCCTGTTACACTGCTTGCCTGACAAACTGCTTGCTTGCACACTACTAACAAACTCACGATACGATGATTCAAGTCTACTCTACTGCTTGCCACATTTACTCACAGTGCTACTGCACGATAGATGCCGCCAGCTGTGCATAAAAATATAAACAGCTATAGAATAAAATTTTTAATATTAAAATATAAATTACCCAAACAATTCACAAAAAATATAAATTCCATATCTTTCACATTTCATAGTAAGTTTATTGTATTTCACGGATGTAATTTTATTTGATTATGTATACATAATACTTATTTATATGCTTCGCTTTCTACACACCATTCCTTGACATTGGTTGGTTAGGTTTTATTTGTCGCTGCTACCTGTAGTGGTTGATAACTTGTATCCATCGTACTCATTTACATTATCGTAGCATATAGATAGATATACATAGATATACATCAATAAAACTATGTCGCCAAAATGGGCATTTACAATATATATTGATCAAGGATCATACATACATCAATATAATATATGAAGAGCTTAAATTTAGCAATAACTCCGATACTACATCATATAGAAATTTATCATTGCCACACACCCACACATATCGAGGTGTTGTGAAATATTATAATATAACCAATTCAAACGAATTTCATTTCCCGCCTGAAACCAAAGCAATGCAATTTTTCAACAACTTGGTCGACGATTTTGTTGAGTGTATTGGGTTAGTAATTTAACTTAAAATTAGAGAATTTGACTAGCTGAATTTGCTTTACACATTAAAAGGTTGCGCTTTCTGATTCCTAGAGGGGTTTTATCCATATTTAACGGTTTACATATTGCGAAGACTACAAACTAATTAACATTAAAGATATTTTGGTGCCATAAACATAATTTGAAGCTTTTTGTTTTCAGAAATCGTAAAAGTACATTTGTGATATTTATGTGTTGAGTATTTTGGATGTTAGATTTCGTTTCGTAAAGTATAAGTAAATATATAGTAAAGTAAAGTAAGCATAAGTTAAGACCACATATAAATATAATACAGTAAATTATAGCTAAACAAAAAACGTATTGAAGTTTTTGCAATATAGTTTTGGAATTATCATATCTAGTTAAGTATTTACAAAATATATATTGTAGTAAAATATATATGGTTACTCGTATAATATATATATTCCTTTACTTCCTTTGCTTTGAGTAGTACATCTTAAGCTCGTCTGGTCTAGGTCGTAGAATAGGTCTGCTCGTTGGGATTACCGAAATGCTAGCGGGATTTTTGTGTGTATTTTGATATAACAAGTGGCACGTGGCATTGTGCTCATTAGACCTTGCTCTCGGGTCCATCTGCTACGTGCTTGAAGGCTAGACGTATGCGGGACAAGTAGTGCGAACAGATGTGTCCATAGTTCTTGTTATACCACTCCGGAGTTTTGCCCCTGAAAGTCGGCAATGATTCAGAGTTAATTTCATTCCAAAAATATTTACATATAGAGAGAGAGAATGAGAGAGAGAGGGAGCACTTACTTGACATCCACGCGCGCCAAATGCATGACTCGGGAACGTCCGCTGCCGCAGGGTTCGATAAGGTAGCGCGAGGCCAGGACGACTCCACGCACCGCACAGAACAGCGGCTTGGCCTTGGCATGGTCGATCGAGGTCTCCACAATAACACAGGCGCCGCGCGGCAAATCCGTTTGCCAGGAACTGAGGGAAGTGAAGTAAAGGCGATTTAAGCAACTCATCTACAAGGCCGAGCTTCAGCCCACCTCGCAACTTACCGCAGCACGCAGAAGTCAGTGGTCAACTGGCCATCCAGGGCGTATTGATAGATTTCGGTGCGATCATCCAGTTTCTTGACCGTTTGGCATTGCAAGAGATTCGGATCCCAGGAGGCGCGCTGCTTGATTATGTACTCCAGCACCTCTCGCGGCGGTCCCTCAATCTCTGTCGAGCAGCGCCACAGACGCAGCGGGTGCCCGTCGCCCACCTTCTTGTACGCAATGTCCACGTTGCTGTCGTTGAGCGAGTTTATTGTGATCCAGCTACGTGTTCTGGTTGGGTTGGGAGACAGTGAGATTAATTGGCTTGGGGTGATAGCAATTCAGACTTACTTTTCACGCCCCTCCTTGATGGTGGCGCTGGTGCACTCGTACAGATAGCCGCGCCAGTTGTGGAACTGCATGCCCTCGCCCAGGGCCTCCAGCGGCACCGGCTTCGACTCCTCCATGTAGCCAAAGTTGCACTTGGCCAGCTTCTCCTTGGCGGCAGTATAGATCGGCTTGTAGTGCTCGATCATGAAGGACAGGCACTCGTGCGAGGCCTTCGCCTCGGCCAGCTCCTTCATGTCCGGCATTCCGGAGCCCTTGCCCTTGCGCCGCGGCGACGCCGACACCGATGCGGAGCCCGTGGAGATGGACGAGTGGAAAATGGACTGAGCCAGGCACACGCCAAGGTTGTTGCTGGTCATCTGATTCTGCGCCGAGTTGGCAGCCACAATGGTCAGGAACTCGAGCAGCACGTAAAGTATCTCACGGTTCTCGTCCGGCAGCAGCAGCACGGCGCATTGCACTGCATCCAGACGCACTTCAGCAGGCAAATCTGAAGAGAATCAAAGTCAGTAAATGTTCATAAAGTAAATTCCATTGATTTTCACTTACGTTGAAAGATGGCCACAAAGGTCTCGGACATTTTGGTGGTCAGCAGCGACTCGGGCAGCTCGCGGAAATACTGCTTCAGCATGTCGGCCACATCGTAGGCCTGCTGGAGGTCGAACACGTCCATGCACTCTGCCGTGGAGTCGGTGAGCTCGATCTGCTCGCGCAGCTTCATGATTCGCGACTTGCCGCCGCTCTTGCGGAACAGTCCCACCTGGTCGAGGGCATTGAGCTGCAGCCAGCGGAAAGCGGCGCGCACAGCCATGGGCAAGGCCTGGCCGCTGCGCTGCAGTATTAGGAGCAGTGGGACGCCAAACACCTTCTTGTCCTTGTAGTCGGGCATTTTGATCTTCTTGATGAACTTGGGCAGCTCCCAGTTCCAGCCGGAGCGATGGGAGGGGCAATAGCGTTCCATGTAGCCCGTCAGGGTGACCAGCGCCAATTTGCGAATGATTTGCAGCTGGCCAGCTGACATGGCAGCAAAGGGAATGCCGGCATCCTCCTGCTGGGCATGAGGCTCGATCTTCTGGGAGAAGCATTTGCGGAAGATCATGTTGGGGCGCTCTTCCATTTGGAAGCTGTGCCAGCGCACCACTGGCTGCCGCTTCGAGCTGCCGGTGTGCTCCTCCTCGTTCTTTGGCTCCTTGCGGGACGTGCTGCGCGAGCGGAATGAGGACGAGCGGAAGCCGTCCCGTTTCTTGGCATCTTTGCCCAGGTTAAGCGAGCCGCCACGCGTCAGCTTCTTGATCTTCACCTCAGTGGTGTTTGAATTGGCATCCTTGATGAGCAGCTTCCGGCCCTGGTGGCACTCGGAGTCCGAGTGCGCACCAATGTCATCCACCTTGCCGGATCGCTGCAAGAACCGGCGTGCCTTCGAGGGTTTCCGCAGAGACAGCGACAGCTTGCCGCCAGTCGACGACTCCTGGCTGTCGCTGTAGTAGGAGGAGGAGTCGTCCGACTTACCCTCCTTTAGCTGGGTCATGGGGCTGGAGAAGAAGTGCAGCGGACTCGTGCGCATCGAGCGCGGCGTGGTCGGCGTTCGCTTGGGGCTGGATCGGTTCGGACTCAAGAAGTTGTCGCTGTGACTGGGCACCTTCAGCTCGTTGCCGAAGAACGGCACCTTGGGGAATGTGTGCATGGGACTTAGCGCGGATGGCGAGGGGGGCGTGGAGTAGACGGCGTCGGGCTTGCGCAGGCTGCTGCGCTGACCCAACTGTGCCAGATCCAGCACCTGTGGCCCACTGATTACCACATTCTCGCGATTCTGGCGCTTGCGACGGCGCGACTTTATCGACTCCACTCGCCGCAGGAAGGCCTTGGCTCCGTCCTTGAAGCGCTCACTGCCCGTGCGACGCAGCCGCGTGGTCCCATCTGAGCTGTCATGCAGCGAGCCATCGTTGGCGTCACCCTTGCTGCAGCCAGGAATCACGAGCGTGATGCCAGCGCCGCCCAGGTCGTAGCTGTCGTCCTCGAAGCGATCGGGACTCGACTCCTTGGATGAGCTCTCCGTTTTCTCCAGGTCCAGCAGTCCCGGCGGCGGCAGCTCCAGACCCATCTCACCTATGCGCGACCAGCGTCGAATGTGTGGTTGGAATGTCCAGTTCTCGCTCAGAGCAAAGTTCTCATCATCGGATTCTTCCTTTTGCTGCGAATGCACCCAGAGGTTAGGCTAGTCCCGATTGGGATGCAGCTCGTGCAACTCACCTGTGGCGTTTGGGGCTTGTGCGTCTGATCCAGTCGCATATTGGCGCAACGATTTAGGACACAGAGCCGCCTGTAGAGCGACTGCAGCTGATCGTTCTCAAGATTTGTGTGATCTTTGGCTACATTGTTCAGCTCGATCGGGAACTGATGATCTGCAAATATGGAAAAGATTTCGTTTGTATACGCTTGGTGGCCAGAGCTATGATGCGGCTGCTGCGTCTGCACACAACGAAGGCGCATGAAATTCTAATTGAAAACCAGAAAGATCGAATCGCCAGTAGCGCCTACAGTCGCAACGGCTAGGCGCCTATTAAATGCTCCAAACACACACACACACACACACAGATGTCTGCTAGAGCCATTGCCTCGGTGTCGCAGTGCGAAATTTTCACAGAGTTTTTCCACATATTTGCGTGGCCAATTTGCACGTAGGAAATCAAGTTCCCAGACGACAACAACGACGACGACGACGACGAGCCAGCGTCCGACCACATAAAACAGATACGCCAGACGTTTACACATGTCGCCTCGCACTGTTACAGATACAAACGCAGATACATTTACAGCTACGGGCAGGCAGGCTAGCTAGCCAACTAGCTGCCTGGCTGACTGCTTGGCTGGCTGGCTGGCAGGCATTGATGCCGTGAGATACGAACTGTTGCAGTTCCGTAGGATGTACGCCTGGAAAAGCTGGCGCGACTTGACTCACTTGCCGCTTTTGTTTGTACGAATACAAATATTGTTAGCATTACAATACAATAATCGTGCCTCTCTCTTGGAAAAGCCATTCTCGGTTTGTTGAACTTTTGACGAGCCCGTTCCCCTGAACGCCTCTACCTCTGCCTCTACCACTACCTCTGACTCTGACTTCTTCTACCACTGCCTCTGCCTCTTCCTCTGCCTCTACCCCTATCTCTATCTCCGCCTCTACCTCTGCCTCTGCCTCTACCTATATGAATGCCCTATCCCTGAAAGCTTTTCATAGATTTGTTTACTCAGGCCGACGCTTTCGGTGCATTTGCTTTAGGGTTATTTATAATTTAATTGAAATGTTTTACTAAATGCTGTGTTTAGTTTCTAATCGTGTGCACTTCGATGCTAATGAAATAAACAGAATTGCGCGCCTGCCAGCGCATTGGAGACCCAATTTGGAGAGTGTGCCACTTAGTTCAATAAAATGTGGTGGCATCACCCAGCGGGCGGTGCCACGCCACACACACACACACACACCGCAGAGCTGAACAGCCGTGCAGGAACAGCAGCATCATCTCATTATCAATAGCAACGGGCACCGTGCGCACCGTGCGTTGACGTCATAGAGAAATTCTTGTGAAACTAATTTGAGTTTTTCGACAGTTTACAGCAGTTTACAGGGCAATGCGGCCGCCCGGTACCGCTCCGTCCCAGTATTCAGTTTATTGGGCCAATGATATGATTAATTCTTCGGCACTATGGAAAAGCGAATCTCGTTTGTTTGTATTAGACAGCAGCAGCAGCAGCTGCTGCAGCCGCAGCAGAGGATGACGCAGCCTGCAGAAATATCCAGCTCTTTTCATTTGTGCGCTCATAAATTTGTATCTATGGCAAATTGGGGGATATTTTGATATTAATAAGAATGGATATGGAACTTGTGCAGCCGTCTCAGCCGTAAATTATAATAAACTGTTGGCTCTCTTCAGGAAGTCAGTTGTTGTGGGCTTAAAGCCGTTCATTGTTCATTCGAGCCTTAATCGAACATCAGTCGCTCTTAAACACACCCATATGTGGAGATGTGGACATGGACCTGCCCTGGCCCAGGTCGCACCCTCGAATTACCTCTGCCACTTTTCAGTGAGTAATGTGCGTGTGGAATGAGAGCTTGAAGCGAGCACAAAAGAAACAGGAATTACGTGAAGTCTTCGTGCCCTCAGTCCCATTTCTTTCGGGGTTCTCTGCTTTCGTCCACCTTAAGCAAATTAACAGTCGCTTACAACTGCTACACCTCCTTTCAGCAAATGACAGAGCCGTAAAGACTGGAACTGCGTCACAACACCTACGGCATGGCAATCTGTAGTAAGTCTGTCCCGAATCCTGGCGAGCATTTCAAGGTATTTGAGGCGATCTTCGCGCATGCGCCGCTGCCTTGTTTACACAAAACTCATTAAAATACGCATTTATCATTTGTGTGTGTGGCTGGGCCGTTCTGTTATGGGCTGGGCTGGGCCGCGCACCACTGTGGTGTGGTGCAATTTAAATGCGCGCACAAATTATTTGGCCGGGCTGCGCTGCAGGCTCTGACCGTGGCTCAGACTCTGGCTCTGGCCCTGGCGAATTTATGCAACCAAATGGGCATATTTCAAGGTCGGCGACAGCCACAAATACATGAAAATATGCATATATATAAATATATGTACATATGTATGTATGTGATCATATATATGATTATCGTGTGTAGTAAAGCAGATCGTGCTGTGCCATCGAAGCGCCTGGAGATATGCCCAAAAGAGTGTGTTCTCCATTTCAGATTCACTTTTTTTTTTTGTTATTTCTTATTTTTGCTGCCTTTTGCTTGGCTTGGCTTGGCTCATAATTCAACTGAAGTCGGCGAACTTTTCGGCCAGCTCCAAAGAAACGCGTTGTATTTTATTCTTGTGATTCGCGGCGCTTTATTTATTTGAATTTGGAGATTTGGCGGCGTCATCAATCTGCGCGGCCTTCAGGCGTTAAATGCAAAGCGACGGCGCGCAAGAAGCTCGGCGACAAATGCGTAGCAGGCCGAGGAGGACGCCGGCCGATTACGATTAAGAGACCCAAATAAATATGCAGCCTGGGCTTGGGTTCAATGAACCCGTACTAACATTTTGGCTAGTGGCTGCGCAAGGGCTCTGCCCTCTGCCTAAAAAATACAAAAATGAAAAAGAAAAAAAAACCGAAACCATTTTAATTTCGGTCTTGAAATCTCTTCTGACTCTCATATATAGTTTGTTGTTGTTGTCTTCGCATACAAAGGTGGTCTTTAAAAATTCTTGCGCAACGTGTCCTTTAGCCTTTTATTATATTTTATCTGCGCTCCGGTGCCTGATGAGTTTTTGCTGGCTGCGCCAGTTACCTGTGCCGTGCTTTATATTACTTTTTTGGTTTACTTTTTGTTGTATTCTTTTTTTTTCGTTGTGTGTTGAATTCTTTCGTGCCACGATCGCTCAAAGCTGGGGCGTTTTTAGCTTTCGTTTTCGCTCGAGCGGCGATCGCTCCTAATTGTTGTCGCGCCGCGTCGTGCTGGCCATATCGGATTCACTTGGCGGCTGGCTATCGTATCATGGCACCGCATGCCAATGCCCTGGTGTTGGCATCTTCTCTAACATGCTGTGCAGTTCATTGGCCAGCGGCGAACAATGAGCGCGGCGCGTGATCCAGCACTAGGGCTGCGTGTTCTTCTGTGTGCCCGCTGTGGCGCAACAGAAAAGTTGCCACGTCATAAAAGAGCAGAGCTGCTCGAACTGGGTCTATTTGATGGCTATTTATTATTTTTAGTGGCAGGCGAAAGTGAAAGTCCGCTTCATGAAATTAATAAACGCCACTTGGGAAGCGTAAAATACTCAGCGAGCAGAAAACAAAAATAAAAGCCAAGGAAACGCAGCTAAATGGCAAAGCAACTATTCGAGTCACTGCTGATGACGTCGTCGACAACGTCATTGTTGGCGTCAAGCGAAACCATCAATTACTCCGCTGCCAGGGCGCACTGAGCGCTGAGTACGGCCCACGTGGCCACGTCCACGGGGCAGGCATGTTGAACATGACAAGGCACCGTCTTGAGCAGCAGACGGAAGTGCGTGCCTTCGTACTTACCTTCGTACATCTGGGCATATTGCGGAAAACCTGCTGCCCGCAGCCATTTACATGCTTCCACGGCTTCAATTTCTGCAAAGAGCAAGAGAGAGAGACAGAGTTAGTGAGTGAGTGCGAGAAGGGTTACAACTATTATGCATACGCCGCGTGGCCTACAAATAATGCTAATTGTAATTAAATTGCTGTGCGAATTCTTGCGGCTGACAAACCTAAACGCGTTTCGCCCGAAACCAATTAAGGCGCGAAATGCGCTTTTACTTAAGTGAGTCTCGCACTGCGAGAGGTGCGTTGCGTATCTGTGTGTGTGTGTGTGACCACTTGATGGATTATGCTGTAAGCTGTCCAAATCATGTCGACTGCAAAAACCTCGCTTTAAATTGTGTTTCGCCTTGGCATTGCTTAGCTGAATGCCGTCGACTTGATATGAAAGTAAAAGTAATGCAGAATTCTTCGAGTATTTCAGGTAGACAAGAAATAATGTTCGGCAAGAGATACCTTGCCGTAGGCACAATATTTATTTGCGTCATAATATGCTCAAGTCAGAGCTAAATCAGTGTTTGCTCCGACCACAGCTCAGAAATAGGCAACGATTTCTTTTGTAGGCAATGAATACATGAATCGCATTTCAGCCCGTCTGCCGCTCTAAGGAGCTCAACGTTGGTACTCGCAGCCAATTGAGTTAAGCCAAAAAAGGCAGCCAGCTATGTATATCTGTGTCTATAAGCTGCCACAAGGGCTGCTATTTTAAATGCTAATCTGTTTGGTGTTTCACATTGCTCGCTGGCTCTCGAAACGAACCCACTTTGGGACACCCCGAGAAGGCAGCGGAGTGCTGAGTGCTGAGCGCGGGTGTAGCAGTGGGTGCTCTAGAGCGGATTGCAAGGATACTATTGATTTTTAATCAACTTTGTGGAACAAGCGACAACATGAAACACTTTCCGGCAGCTTACTGCCAGGCCAACGGGATGCTTTCTGGGGGAGAATTATTATTGAATTTTGCAAGCGATTAACTTGCACGCCCGCCGCCGAAAGGGGTTGTCGCAAGGTGGCCAGCTGCCAGTCAGCCAGGCATACGAGCGACCGACAGGCCGAGCAGGATGGCAGGCTGCCTGTCACCTGCTTGCTTCCTGTGTCAAAGTGTCTCCGGGCTTATGATTTTGTTTAAAAATAGCCATGCATTCGAAATTAATTTAGGTTAACCAGAGTTGCGCTTAAGGTCTGACTGTCGTATCGCTAGCCAAGCCGACTAGCTCCAAAGGTAAACAGCCATTGTCTGTGTATGTGTGTGTGTGTGTGTGTGTGTGTGGACACGTCGAACGTCACAACTGCGCCCATAATTACATAGAGTGGTGCAGCCAGAACCAAAAATAGCCCAGAGACAGCTTATTAATTATCCGTGCGTATGCGAAAATAAAAACAGCACCTGACAACAACAACAACAACAACTCTTCAGTGAAGAACAACGGCAGCAACAACTCCAACGGCATGTCAGACCTCAACAACAATGCGAAACGCCACTTGAGCATTATTAAAATTGCGCATACGCCGCGTTGTCGCGGCTGAGCCACGCACTCATCTAAAAGCCATTTAAAGTGTTCGCATTATTGTTGTGGACTGGCGCTTGTCGGGGAGGTTTATTGCGCCCGAGTCAATATTTGTAGCTGTTCCTGTTGTTCGCCCACTGGCCGCACAGTGTCGTCCGCCCACAAGCTGGCTGGGGCGGAGTCGACTACAGAATATACGGGTCCTTTGTTGTCCTTAACATTCGGCTCGTTCGACTCATTTTCGTCGTTCAGTCGGTCATGTTAAAACATTTTAAAGCCAGCCACGCGCAAATTCATGGAACTTGGGCTTACCCTGGATAATTGTTATCCTCTTTCTGTGTGGGTGTGGGTGTGTGTGTGTGTGTGTGGGTTTGTGAGTCTAAGGATGACAGCTTGAGGCGGCGTAAAAGGATGATGATTTAAGTGCCCGGCGATTACATACGTCGAAAAACAAAGCCGCTCATGATTGTCTAATTAAAAACGCAATTAAATTGAAATGACCCCTAAGATAAATCGATAACGATTATATATAAAAGGAATTTAGAGGTTGCTTAGTGTAGACAGAACTGCGAGAGCTAATCTTCCACTAATTTACTGAGCTAAATGTTATACAACAAGTCTCATTTGCCAAGCTCGCATTAACGTATTATTTCCTCATATTTCCCGCTTATATTTGCAGATTAGAATTATGCATTTCTTGATGTCTTAAAGTCATCTTAGCTAACAATAAAATTTATAATTCATTTAAGCCTCTTAATCGTATTTCAAAGCAAGTTTGTAATGAATGTGAGCGCAGTGAGTGAATGCTTAACACAATTTCTGCTTCAAGGATATGCTGATACGTGGCTTGTTGTTAGCTGAAGGCTGAAGGCTGAAGGCCTCCTGCTGAGTGTGCGTCGACTGTGTGCGTGTGTGTGTGTGTGTGTGTGAGTGTGTTGCTGACATGCTTTGTCTTTACGCGTGCTCCAGAAAGAGTGAAGTGAACCAACAATACGATATACAAGGCAGACATTCGCATGCACACACATATTCATCGCATGCAAATGACACACACTTCCGATTATGGCCAGGAACTTACATAAAGTGCTCCCAGCTCAGGCAAAAACTTGCTTCGCTTTGGCATTTTTCAGTGGCTCAATCGAGCTGCGATCGAAATGGGCCGTTGGCTGTGCCACGTGACACGAGGCACGCAGCATGCGGCGTATGTGTATGTGTAACAAACTGCCTCTCTGCACAGCTCGCCCTTTATTCATTTAATGCCACATCTGTGCAAAAGTTCAAAACGGAAAATAAAAAGTTTGGCTAACCCTATTAAATTTACTTTCAGCTGAGCTAAAAGCTTTTGCGCTATGCCGGCCTGACCTTTCATATAAACGGCTATTTATTGCTAAATTAATTCGAACACTAATTGTAATTGAATTTAGATAAACGTCGCCAGCGGCAGCTCGCAGCATATTATTATAGCTGGCGATGCGAACATTATTCAGCAAATATTTTTCGCTAAATGCTCGCCGCGTGGAGCGTTTAAGCCTAATTGAATTGCCCCAGGAGCAGCAGGCAGCAATTTATGCAATTATGCTCAAATCAGTCAGTGAGTTTTCAATACAAGTGCAAGCGCATCCATTAGATATTATGGCAATTGGACTTCCTCGAAATGCAAAATGTTCAATTATCGGTTGCATTCGCTTTGATGTAGGTGTTTGCCATTAATTAATTGCCTTGCATTGGCCAAGCACGACACACAGATGCGCACACCCACACATGCACACGGAGACATCTAATAAGTCTTTGTCTAAGATGTTAGCCAAACACTCAAATGCCATTTGCAACATAAATTTTATTCAAAAGTGACAGCAAATGACGCATGCAGCACAATGTTGTTGTTGTTGTTGTTGTTGCCTTGCCTTGCACTCGGATTAGCCACTAGAGCAGAAAGCTTTGCAATTTTTAATTAATTACGGAATTCATGGCAAATAATAAAACAAAAGACCAGAAATAAAATCAGAGGAGAGCTGAACACTTCCTCGAAGAACACTCGAGTTCCTTAAAGGCACCGAGAATAGCATTTAGCCTTCTAAATATACACAGACAGCTGACTATGGAGCGCAGAGGACTATTGGCGAGCGTTTCCTCTTCATTGGCCACACAAAAGGCTCCTCCGGCTGGCTAGCTAAGAATCAAGCTATTTATAGCTGTGCGCACAAGGCTGAGCCACCGGTTCGCTCCGATGGCTGCAGACCGTGCGCTCGGGGACCCAGGACGCAGGACTGGCTGCAACAAGTGGCAGGTTGTCAGCTCAATTTGCCGTTAACTTGACGATGACTGGAAATTGGCTTGAAGCACGCATCAAAGCGGCTTATCCATCGCTACTGCCAACATCTTTGGACACTCAACTCAACTAGAGTTGGCTACCTCAATCCAGCGCCCTGCCAGCCTCCACCTGCTTTGGTATCTTGCGCAACAGAAATATCAGATCATTGAGCTTTTAATTCGTTTTTAATGTCAGCGTATTATACGCCGCGTACTTCCTGCTGAGCGCTCGAGCGGGCGGTCGTCCGCCCCTGTCGCCGCGCCCTGCCTCTGCCCAACATCGTCATCCCAGCTCGCCCGCATGAAATGAAAATAATTCAGCCAACTTGCCGTTGTTTTGCTACCAAAAATGAGCTCACACACACACGAACAGAAAATACACCGGCCGAACCGAATAAAAAATAAAAAATATTCGCATATAAAAATAATTACATTTGAAAAGAAACCAAAAATAAAATACAAAATGAAAATAAACCAAAAACAAAACACACAATCAGGCCAATTGGCTGAAGAGGAGTGGGAGGAGGCGTACAGCATGGGCAGTCGGCGGAAAATTTATGCGTTTCATTGTTATAATACGAAATGGGCTAAGGAAAAGCCATTCAAGTTAAACACCAGCCTCAACGAGACAGAGAGAGAGGGAGAGCGAGAGGGTGAGAGAGGGAGAAAGAGAGAGCCACTGCGGCTACCAAGAAGAAGCTCATTTACATAATTCTGCACATGACAATCAAAAAAACATGAATTGCCGCGGGTTAGCCATAATTCTTAAACGGATTTTTATTAGCCACGTTAGGCTGGAATTGAACTGAAATTAATTATTTTTCAATTCAATTAAAATGGAAGATAAAGCAACATTGTGAAGTGCGAGTGAATCGAAGACACTTTGCTAGTCTATTAAAAAGGCAAATGATTTAAAATACTTCTATAATACATATTTATATATTCGTGAGGTAAAACGGCATATCAAAAGACTTCTTTCGTATCATATTATAATTTACATACATATTGGATCTAAATATACATATGTACATACTATTCACAATAATTATACATATTTTATAGGAAGGCTTCCTACTACTACTGCCATACATGCTCATACATGTCTGATGCTCAAGGGGCTTTTATTATTGTTGTAATTTTTTATGATATGATTAAATATGTGGTGGACAGTCCAATCAATTCAGCGCGAGACAAATCAAGCGATTCATGCAGCGTTCGCAGCAAATTATATTTGATTCTCTTTTTTTCCAGCTGTATGTATGTTTATACAACGCCACGAAATACGTTTTTTCGCTTTTTTGGGGGCATGAACCATGGAGGCAGGTGCTCATTACTTATTTTATTTTATTTATTTTGCTGCCGCTCATTTTGGCATACACACACACACACATGCCGTTGTATATATATATATATATATATATATATATATATATATATGTACTCGTATAGTATGTACATATTAATTGTATAATAATTTTTCTCATTTATTACCACATGCTAACGGTTTTCTTTATTTGAATGAATCGCCTCGCTCGACTGGCACGCAATTTCACTTGGGTGTAAAAAAGCGAAATCGTAGCGCAAATGATGATGGGGTTTTGAGTGGGGCTGCGACAGACCCTGCCAAACTGACGCTCTGACTGACGGTTGGATGACGGACTAACTGGCCAACTGACGGATGTGGCCAGCTGTGGAGCGAAGGCAAATGACAGGCTGACCATCGACTTGGCAACTTGTTGCAGCCCTATTCCGTTTTCCATTTTCCATTTTCCCCATTTCATTTCCATATAGACACAGACATAGCTTAATAATGCAATGAATAATTCGATTAAATGTGCGCGTTGCGGCGCCGATTGATATACACAGCCTGCCGATGTTGCTGTTGTTGTTGCTGTTGCTTCGCTGTTGCTGCTGCTGCTGGTCCAGCTGAAAATAGCCACACTTGGCTCCTAAAATAGTTGGCGGGGTAGCCTCTTAATTGGGTGTGGAAAAACAATAAACAGCCAGCGGCACGCGTCCATACATAGCCCCAGTGCCCATTGTTCGCTCATGTAGTAGAATCGATACGAGTTCCAATTTAATAATTTCTGCCCTTGGGCCACGTTCGATCAACCGAGTTGTGCTCACCTGCGATTTTGCGCTCTCGCATTTTGCGCCACAGCGCCTCGGCCTTGCGCTTGGGCCAGTTCTCGAACTTTTGGGAGAAGCTCCTGAAGAACTTGTACTCCCGTATCGATACGGACATCCGGCGCTGCATTTTGACTAGAGTTGGCAGCGCCGTTTTGCTAGAGTCAACTTTTCCTTGATTGGCTACACGAAAATCCTGCGTCTGTCTCTCTCTTTCTCTCCCACTCTTTCTCTTGCTCTAGCTTTAAATGCGCTCAAACAAATGTTTTTGAATCAATTACATTCTGATATTTGCAATTTACTGTTTACACTGCACTACACACGATTTGTTTCTTTTTTTTCTTGTAAATATATGTATATATTTCTTTGTATTATCGGCAGAAACCGTTACAGCTTTAGGCCGTTACACAGCTTTTGAGTCGCTGGCGTCGACGCGTTCCCGTTGCCTGCCCCAGACTCGATGCGGTCACGAATGCGTCTACCGTGCACGGCGCCTGTAAGAGCACTAATCATTTTGCCCGCCAACCAAGCAAAATGGCCGAGCCGAGCAGAGTCCGTGCCCGCCGAACAGCAGACACGAACCGAGCCGAACCGAGCCGAGGCGACCACATAAAATGCTAAGCAAGTGAGCAACGGGACGTATGAGCAATGTTGCTGCTGCTGCTGCTGCTGTTGATGCTGTTGCTGCTGCTGTTGGAGCTGACTGTGATTCCCTTGCCATGCAGATCTATCAGTGCCATAATCATTTATTGTTATTATTATTTCTCTCTGTGGTTATATTTCTCGAAAAACATGCTTTGCGGCCCTTGGCTGGGGCAAGCAAAACAAATAAATATATAAATGAATAACTGCTGTCATGTTGTGCGTTGTTGATGATGCTTATTTCATTTCAATGTTTATTGAAAGGACTCACACACCCACACACACACACGCACACACACACATGCATACAAAGCGAATTCTGTTTCTATAGACTCTGACAGCTTTTGTTTTAAGCAGTTGCTTTTTATGGCCATGTGAATTGTGAGATGGGCTGTGAAAGTTTCGAGTCGATGGTCAGCCGCCAACCGCACCTGTTGCTCGCTGGCTGACGGCCAAAGGGGGTGGCGGTGTATGGGGGGCGCTTCGCTTGTTGCTGGCACAGTTAGTTGTTGAAGGCTGAACTTTAGTCACTTTTAAGAGTTCTGCGCATTGAAGCATTGCAATATTTGTGTAAAGTTAAATGCAATTCACAATTTGCATTCACCGCTCGAACTGTGCTCGAATGAGTTAAGCAATGAATGAAATTGTCGTGATCTTGGTCAATCACAGAAATGAGCTCTACAATTAATTGCACTGCATTCGGGGCGTGCCGAGGCGCGCGAGAACAAACATGACATTGACACACGCTCCCATAGGCGTGCATATAGACAAGTCGGGGGAATCTATGTGTATCTCTGGGTGTTTGCTCGCCGGCGATGAGCAAGATAAATAAAATGAAATAAATGCTGGCAATTTTTATTTGTGCAATATCTGATATTAATCATGGACTACTGCGTGTTAATCTTTTCCACAGAACAAACAACAATGAAGGCAGCAAGAAAAGCGCCAGCTTCCGTTATGAAATGACCAGCACAACAAATGCCACCGGCCCAGCCTCAATCTCACTCTCGATTCGCAGCTCCCAGAGTCAGCTCCACGCCCATTGTAAATGGAACGAGTGTCGCATGGCCAAATGGCCATAAGACGATATTAGCAATATAAATACAAGCGATGCTAAAGGCCACGGCATTGGCATCGTACAGCGCCAGCTCTGTCCGCTTGACCTTTGCGTGTGGCCAGTGCCGACGTCACTCCAATGACGTCATCTGGAGAGCAAACAAAAACGCGACCAGATAGTGGTCGCAAAGCACCGTGCATCGTCCTCAGCTGGCGCCTCCCAAATGACGTCATCCCTTGCCCGCTGGATGATGCTGCTGCTGCTCCTGCTCCTGCTCCGATAGCATTGGCTCAACCAAAGCCGCTCTGCTCTGCTCGCTGTGAGCACTTGGCTGCTGATTCAATTTTAGTTCATTTATATGCCAGTTTCGACATGAAAGGAACCACTCACACCACTCACCCACCCACTACACCATTCACTGGAGAGGCACAATGCAGATGAAATCGAATGTGTGCGTGTGTGTGTGTGTGTGTATGTGTGTGTGCTTGTGTGTTGGCCAACAGCCGCATGCACATTGACAGATTGACAGTCATTTTTGGCTCGCCATTCGCATTGAAGTGTTGACGGAAGTGTTGGAAATTGGCAAAAGAGCTGCGGCTGGCCGCCCTCTCTTGTGGCTGCGGCTGTTGCTGTTGCTGCTGGCCAAAGAACATGAAAGTAATTTAAATGACAGCTGCCCCCTCCTTGAAGCTGTCGCAATCGCTTGCCGTCATTGATTGCCTTCAATTGTTTGCTGCGAAAATCAAATTATGCCAGCTGAATGAGATCGAAAGTTACGTCTGATGCCTAGGGCGCAGTCTTACTCATATGCGAGACTCATATATTCATATATGAGAGATATTTGGTTGTAATTATAGAAATTATGAAATCTACTCTTCACTGTTATTATAAACCACTCACGCTTAATAACCGGCCGCTAATTGGCTGGCAGGACCACCAGCACATCAAATCAACAAGCCCCCAACTTGATGGCCGGCCTCGTCCTCGATCTTGATCTTGATCTTGGCTGAGGCCGAGGCCGTAGCCGCAGCCTCCGCCAGGCCATTTAAATAACTCATTTAGTGCACAGATACGTTTAGAGCTAAACAAAACAGAATAAAAACTCGTTGCCAGCCACTCACCTGCTAAATAGCGATCACTCTGCGAACGAGAATAGCGCAGCGTCTGTGGGGTAGATGAAGAGAGGAAAAAAAGAAGAACATTTTAATGTCTGTTGATCAAGTTTGCGCGAGGGCTACTCGGTAAGTAGCTGACTTATTAGGGAAGTCAATACAAATAGATGAAATATGTAACTATCATTATAGGCAAAACCAATAATAATTTAGAACTAATAACTGTTGAGATATTCCTTGTCTGACATACGAACTTAGCCTGAGGGTTTCTTTACAAATAGCTCGCTTATATAATCTATGTAATTTCTAAATATTATTACAGTAGAATACAATTTTAACAATGCTCAAGGAACCGTCGTTATACTCGTTGTTACAACCGGTCAAGCTTTCTCTTATAAGTGGAACCCTACGCACGCTATAAGCGAATTCGTTATACCCAGATTCTACAGTATGTGCATTAAAATTGCAGTTATATGGAAATTCCATGTCAAGTATATGACGAGCTTTTCTCAGAAACTAGTCAGCTAACAATAACAACGTATATCTATCCGATTTTACGTTCAATTTAATACGCCATGAAAAAGAATATTAGTACTTGTTTAAATTATAGATATAAGAAACTTTTCTGTACATTTTGAAAGCCATAATATATATATAAAGAAATTGGACTAATTCCTAAGTCTATGCTTGTAATGCTTTGTTTTTAGTCTACAACCCAAAATTATTATGAAATAATTTGGTTCATTTCAGATTTAATATTCTATTTCAATTTTGAAAATCCCTAATAATAATTAAACTAATAGGGTTTGTTTCTGATATAACTTTCTATTTCCTTTTTTGTATTCTATATCCCTGTTGAGAATCCATAATTATCATATTACAAATTTAATATATTTAGATATTTTGAATCTGATGTTTATTCTATTCTATCCTATATCTATTTTGGGGATCTATAATAAGGATCAGTTCTGATTCTACTTTCATTCAAAATATATTAATTTTATAAAATAATATAATGTTGAATATTTCTGTCTGTTTCTATTCTATGTCTGCTTTGATTGATTTGTTCATTCCTGATTCTCTTATGGCTTAGAATATTTCAAAATATATAAAATAATGTAATATATAATATTTCTTTGCACAGTTTTCCTTTCGGTCTGCCTCGATACTAACCAAGTGCTGTGCGGCAAAGTCATCGCAGCGACGACTCCGCTCACGCTCCTTGAGCAGCAGCGGGGCTGAGTTGGATTTGGTGGTCAGTTCTTGGATGCCGCCGGTGTCGCTGTGCAGCGAGGCGCTGCTGGGCGAAGGCAGCTCCACAAAATGATGCAGGTGGGGGGCTGTCGTGGCCGTGGGCGAGAGCAGCGACTGGAAGGGCTCCTGGCGCAGCGCCAATGACAGCTGGCCGCGCTCCTTGTGGTTGTGGCGCGGCAGCAGCTTGCGCGGCTGCAGCAGCAGCTGATGCTGCTGATGGGGGTGGTCCAGGGAGAGGCTGCGCTGGTTGCGCCTTGCCACGCCCGCCAGCGGCACCATAATGGGCGGCGCAGCACTGTACTTGCGGCGCAGCACGACGGGCGTGGCCATCGATGCTGTGCCCCCGCTGGCGCTACTCGCGTCGCCGTCGGTGCAGTCGCAGTCGCAGTAGTGCTGCGTCAGCTCGAACTCGTCCTGGCACTCGTCGTACTCGGCGGCGGCTGCTTTGGTCGGCGACGGCGACGACGACTGCTTGGCCGTCTGCTCGTCCAGCATGTCGTCCTGGGACTCGTTGGCAGCCTCGCCGCCACTGCCGCACAGGCTGAGCACCTCGAGCAGGTCGGGATCGTCGGACGAGGCCACAGAGCCGCTCTTCTGGAATTTCATTTTGCGCAGCGCCTCCAGGCTGCTGACTGACTCATTGTCGGGCGCACTGCCCCCCGCCCTGTGGTGGTGGTGCGAGTGATGGTGCTGCAGATGGTGGCTCTTCCAGTAGGACATGTCCTTGGGCGGCGTAGCCGTGCCAATGCCGCTCTCGTTGTTGTCGTTGTCCAGTCCCGAGGAGTCGAGCGAAATGCCAGACTTGCCAGAGCTCAGCACTCCGGCCGCCTCCTCGCAGGCCGAAGACGACGAAGTGGAGCTGCTTGGAAGAGTTGACATATTAATACTGAATGAGGCTGCAATGACTCCATTAGCTCTACTCACTTGTTGTCTTCATCGACGGCGCCAACGCTGCGCAGTATGGACTCCTCCGATGTCCACAGTGTTGAGGTGGAGCCTTTTTTGGTCACATCCACCAGATAGCCAGGCGTGGCGGCGCCTTTCCCCGAGGTCAGCTGTGTTCCACTTGTTGCCCCACCGGCTCCTGCTCCTGCTACTGCTGCTGCTGTTGCTGCCTTTGCTGGTGGCGGGGTTATAGCATTTCTGCTCGTCAACGTTGGCGACGTCGCGGCAGCTGCATGATTAATGCCCACCCGTTTTGGCATCGACATGGAAGCCGTTTCCATGTCCAAGCCGTTGAATTGACGCTGTCGCCTAGATTTCAAATCGTCCATGGTGGTCGTGGTTGCCGCAGCGCCGGGCTCACCTGTTGCCGCCGTTCGCTCTTCGATTTTCAATGCACTTTGGAAATTTGTCAGCTTATGAGCTGCTGGCGTCGCAGTTGCTGTCGCAGTCGCAGCCGCTGTCGACGTCTCTGCCAGTCCATTAGCTGCGAACACCGCCAGACTCTTGCGTTGACTCTGCACGCTCGGCACTGCTCTCGGCGTTGCGCCATGCCCGCCCGGCGCCGACAATGTGCGCATGTAGGCAATGCTCGGCTTGGCGGCCACCTCGCTGCGTCCGCAATCAAGGTTGAACGATTGCAGTGGAATGGTTGCCTGCAACAGAGAGAGAGAGAGAGAGAGAGGGAGATGGAGAGGGGAAATAACGTATTAAAATATAGTCAGTCAGGTTTAATATAGAAAAGTCGACACAACACAGCGCTGACAGATTCGAGGGGCCGCAACCTCAACCTTTAAGCGAAGGACCTTGAATGCATAATGAGCCCTCGCTCTGACTGGATAGCAGGAGGCCAAAGCTGTTGCATGTTGCCCGTTGCCTGTTGCCTGCTGCCTGTTGCCTGGACCAACGCGTTTTCACGTTGCGAGCATGCGAGAAGACAGCATGCGCACAAAAACAATGCCAAAAGGAAATATCAATGGCATTTTTGAGCGTTGTCAAGTGGCTGCGGCCAAGTACGAAAACAATCAGAATTTGTATTTTATGCAAATCGCAAAAGCAAGAAACGCTGAATGCTGAATGCTGAATGCGGCGAGTTAGTTTTCAGCGGAATCTGCTGAAAGCCATTTCAAGTGGCCGACATGGAAGTCCCCCTTTGGCCAGGCTTTGATAGTGTAGAAAAATTTGCTATTGTTGGGGCTTATGATTTATGGGTCGCAGCTGATGGCTGGCAGCCTTCCACGAACTATGCCGCGTATCCAGTGTAACCAGTCGCCCAGTCACCTGTGCCTGTGCCTCTGCCTGTGAACGGGGTGGTGACCGTGGTGCAGTCGCTGAGTTCGTTATGTCAATTCGATTTACAAGCCTTTGGCAAGCGATTGACAATTTGCTTTTTACTCGGGCCTGCTGCCAACGTCGACGTGGACGACAGCCAGCGAAAATTCATTTTAAAAGCAGCAACAGGCGGAAATTGATTTATATGATTTATTGGCAAAAAAAAAAAAACAACATGCCAATACTCGTGTATGTGTGTGTGTGTATGTGTGTGTGGCTCGGTTTAAAACAGCAGCGTATGATAAAGAGCAAAAAAATTGTAGCAGGTTGCCGTGGCTGCGCCTCAGTTCCTTGGGGGCTTTTTGCTCCGAAACTGTAACAGCAGTAAAATGGCTAACGAGCCTGGCCTGTAACTGTAACAGGCATATGAAGGGAGAGCCAGACCATTTGCGGGGGGCAGAGAGTGGAAGGCAAGACTGTGTCAAGCATCGTTTGCCTGAGCAGCAGGAATGGGAGCACCAAAAAATAAAGAAACATCTGTGTGCAAATCTCCCAGAGTGAGGATTGGCAATTGAGGCAGAGCAAAATATGAATTCACCAACTAATAGCCGATTCAAACTTATATTCAGTATGTGTGGCAACTGCTGACAGGATGTGGCTGATGTAGCTGGTGGCATCAGAGCATATCCTTGGGGAATACGCCAACTGCAGCGGCTGCAATTGCTGCTATCGAAATTTGTAATGCATTATGGAGCAGCAAAGCGAGCGCAGTCTGTGCACAGCAGCTCCAATGAATTATTAATATAGGCCCGTCGATGTCGTCGACGATAGCAATGCCCAATGGCGTATCAGCCAACTGCGTGCTAATGAGCCGCCAACTCTCGCTGGCGACGCATTAATTGGTCGGCCAAACAGTCGAGGCTTTTATGGGCATAGCCAGGTAGGCGCCGCGCCACGGCTCCAGTTCCAGCTCCAGCGCCAGCGCCAGCTCCGAATACTAGATCGAAAACTGCAGTAACAAAACTTTTACATTTCACGTTTATTTATTGATGCAGTCGATCGATCTGTCGTCTGTTCCATATTAATTTAGCGATTCGATCAAGACAAACAAAATTCTCAATTATGGAGCCAAGTTGAACTTGTCTAACATATGTTCCGCTACGAGTCGCCTATCGATCGCTTCATTTGATTCGATTTGAAAATTTTTCATTGTTTTTGTTGTTGTTGTTGTTGCTGAGACTGAAATTGAAGCCTTTTATGATTGGGGCGAGTGACAAGGAAAATCAGTTTGATTTTCCATTGCAGTTGAGTTCGTTATTCGATATCCGAAACGCTGCCAAAAGCCAATTTAAATGCAATAAAATGTGAATATTTCTCACAACAAACTGACAACGCGACGCACTCAAATGAAATGTTTTCTTCGGTTAGTTAATGAAGAATGCAATAAAACGAACACCAAATGACACAATCAAATATTCTCAAATGGCCCTAAAGGGGTTATCTGAACGCAATGCATGGAGAATGGGCAACTGTAAATGCCACTAATTGATCATAAAAGTCTATGAGAGAAATCTCAAAGAGAGCGAGAGAGAGAGAGAGAGAGAGGGAGCTAAATTTGTGTACACGTCTGCTGAGCTCCATACATCAGAGACTTAATGACAAATGCAATGCAGGCAACGCCTCAATGTTCCACATTTATTGATGTATGACCCAGAAAGAAGGCCCCTCTATTTCGTTCCGCACCCGTCCCTGTCAATATATATACTATATATATATATATGTATATGCATATAGCCTGTTTGTGGTACACGGGCCTGTCCAGACAATCGCCAATCGATTGGACATGCCTCTGCCCGCCTGCGGTCACGCATGCTCTCTGATAATAATTATCAAATCAAAACACTTAAACGCCTGGCCAGCCCATCGTTTTCCAGCCAGTCCTCTCGCCAGCAGCAGCAACTGTTGCTCGTCACGTTTGTTTGCCTTGCAGTGATTTGCAAGTTCTACTTAAGTCAAAACTGTCCAATGTCCGTGGTCCATTGATGCAGCAGCAGCGCATTGCATTGCAGCATTGTGGCGATGCGTGAAAAGCTTTGTGTGGAGCGCGCGGCCTTTGTGTTGGCCCAACCGGGCAACTCTGCATGGCTCGTCATCATTAAGCGCGGATTGCATTGCGCTGCACATGCCACACATGCGAAGATTCACTTTCGCAGCCAACTAAGCGCAAGGGGCAGCTGAATTGGGGCGTTGGGTTCCACTTGGTCTGGCACAGCACTGTGCTGCTGACAGCTGGGCAGGAGTGAAGTGGAAGCACTGCATCTTGATCTTTGTTTGAGTATCTGCCGCCGGGCGGCGTATTGACCCAATTCAGTGGCCCACCTTTCGAATGAGAAACAAAAAGCCAAAAAACATCTGTTTTTGCTTTACTTTCGTTGACAGCCTGTGCTCTCGGGTCGTTTTCGGAGCTCTTTAGCAAACAAGGCACGCACTTGTGTCCTCGATAAGGCTGCCGCTCGCTCTGCATCGTTTTTTTGATTTACGCAGCTATCGGTAGTCGGCCCGCTGACTGACTAACCAGCTAACCAACTGACTGACTCACACAATGTCTCTGGGTAAAGCCTGCCAGACGAACCACATTCTCGACGTTAATTAGTGCACTGCAGGTTTGGGGCTTAAGCGCTTTTAATTGGCACTTTTACTTGAGCGATTACTGTGAAATATGACAGCTCGACTGACTACATTTTGGAGACAGCAGCAGCAGCAGCAGCAGCAGCAGCGCCCACATACCTCTGTTGCAATTCCTGAAGGAAATCAAGGGCATACAGCTGGAACAGCTCTTGCTTTAAGCATTGGACTCATGCCTGAAGCTGCGCCAAAAAATTCTTCATGCATGTCATGGAATATTTAACAAAACAGAGCAGAGTCGACATCAGTTTCCTGTTGTGCTCAAAATAAAGGTCGGGCCTGGTCACAAACAGACAGAGAGAGAGCGAGAGAGAGAGAGTCAGAGACCGAAATAGAGATAATGAGTGGCAGAAAGGGTATGCAGCCATGCATATCATTAGCACAGAAATTATGAAGTATATATGTATAGAGAATACATATAGCATATGTGGCTTGGCATCATGTGCTGCTCCTTGCGTCTCTGCAGTTTAACGATTGATGGAAATTTACCTAGCTCGCTTTTGAAATATTTGTGGCTAGAGTTGTGTCAGCCTAGGTCTCTGTGTCTGGCATACCCTGTAAGCTGTTGGAATGGTATGCACATATATATATCATTTTACAGGGCATCTCTTAGTTGAGCATATTCTGCATAGGTTTCTGCTTGTGTATATTATTTATTGGCTTTTGCGGCATTTTGGTGTTGTGTTTTTCCACTGGCACGCGTTTTGGAAATTAATATTTGTTGCTATTGCTATTGCTATTGCTGTTGCTGTTGTCGTTGTCGCCGTCGTTGCAGCAGCAGCCGCCTTTATAAGGTTTTTCCACAGATAAACACAGCAAACTCAAAGCGAAATGTATGCTAAGCATATGCAACTAACAACAAACAACAGACGACAGCCAACAAGAGACCACAAACTCAGTGCCGTTTATGAGCTGCTTGGGCTTATAAATGTTTTAATTAGATCCATTTGATATGATAAGCCAGAGACAGCTAACAAGTTGCTTGGGTTTCTGGGCTTTGGTTTATGGTTTATGTCTGGATTAAGTGGGTCAACGAGTGAGTGTGACTCGAGCCTCAGCAACTAAATCTCTCTCTCTCACTCAGTATCCCCCTCTCTGTGTGTGTGTGTGTGTGCGTGTGTGACCGCAGTCGAGTTGTCTGTTTGAGCCTAGGAGAGCTGCAGTTGCATCAGTTCTCTTGAATTAATTTACTTCTTCGCTCAACTTTATGCAGGCATATTTTGTGGTCTGCCACTCAACGCTGAAGTTTTTCTTAAATTATTCACTAATTAGCTTAATTTTATTACACATTTGATGGCGCTGCATCTCGGCGATTTCTGTTCAGGGCAGCAGCCCGAAAATGCAACGGGTCAGCCACAGCCTCCGCCACCGCCACCGCTACAGTCATAAAATTCGCTTCTGTTTGGCTCTTCATATATTTTCCCTATCTTTTCAACAGTTCAAAGTTGAACTCATTCAAGTGGCAGCAGCCTGCAAGTGACTGCCTATCGCCGCCCTCTGCACCCTGCACCCTCCACCCTGCTGCAGCATCTCTGCCCCTTTGCATCAATGTGCTGCTCATAAATTTCACGCGCTTCACTTGCGCATCCGGCACAGTCGCGGGGCACAGCACATGGCACATGTGGCGGCAGTTCTCGAGAGGCAATTTTGCTGCTTTTCTTTTTGGGGAATATGCTCGTGCAGCAGCGCGAGGGGAGCGGGAGAGCTGGAGACTGAGTGTGCGTGTGTGTGGACAACATTGTTTGGCTTTAGATTAAATGCCTTTGTTTTAAGCGCTTTTTATCTAACCCACATAAAATATGCTGGGCTTGCCTCATGTTGAAATCGTGCAAGAGATTACAAGCGAATATATAAGTGATTTCAGATTATGAAATCTCAGTGTGAGAATTTATGATTGCATTTAACTTACATGCTTCTCCGGTTTCAAGACGAGTCCGTTTTGCTGCTGTTGCTGCTGCTGCTGCTGTTCGTTGCTGACAATTGCGTTCTTGCCAAAGCGACTCTGCAGGGCCGCGCTGGCCGCTGCTGAGAGCAGCATGGGCGCTGTCCTGGACGTGGGCGAGCTGCTGGAGGAGGCGGAATCCGAGCCTGCGCCAGCACTGGATGCCAGATGCGACGGCAGCTTATCGCCACCCATCAGATTGTCCAAATCACGTAGAAATTTGTTTGCCCAAATGTTCACATCATCCGGCTGGGCAGCAGCAGTGGCAGGAGGCGTTGTCTCAGCCGAAGTACATCGACTCGACGGTGGCGGCGGCAGAGCTCTTAGTTTAGTTGTCACTGGTTTGCCATTGCTGTTGTTGCCGTTGTTGCTGCTGTTGCCTGTTGATGTTGCTGCTGTTGCTGTTGCGACTGTTGCTGTTGTGCTGCTGCTGTCAAAGCCGCTATCAGATTCCGTAGAACGCGACAATTCATCAAGCTGCTTGGCCGCCGCTGCTGCCTGTCGCACGGCCTCGAGTTGCTCCTGCAGTTGCTGCTGCAATCGCTGCGCCTTGCGTAGCTCAAAGACCTCGTTGATTTCCAGCTGCAATTAGAATACGAGTTGTTAGTCGCCGATGCACATAAATTCAGCGTGCGATTGGTTTTGATTAGCGCTCTAATTGCCAACATATATCAAGGCAAGACATATCGGTAGCGGGCTGCGCCCAGGGCGCCAGATTCTAATGGATCGAGCTATGATGTATGTTTGCTTAATTTGCGCAACAAATAGAGGAAGGAGAAAGACTGAAAGCAACGCCACGATCAGACATTACTCACATTGAGCCGCAGAGACATGGCCACAATCAAAGACAAATAAATTAGAACACGACCGCAAAGGCACAAAAAAAAAAAAAAACAAAAAAAAAAAAACGGGAAAAAAAAGGGTTTTCAAGCAGGGCAGAGCACAGCAAACTGCAGCCACGAACTGCAGACAACAACAGCAGAAGAAAAAGAAAAGAGAACAGCCAAGGCGTGCAGCAGCAGAGGCAACAACAAATGCAAATAAATTGAAATGAAGCAATTTGTTAGCCAGATTAAACAAAAAGCCACAGCAACAGCAACAAGAGGAAACAGCAGCCGTTTCTAAAGACGATCAGAGCGAGGACCCACAGGGCTAACAAAGTCAGCGAATTACTTAATTAAAAAACGTGGCCCTAAGACACAGAAGAGCTGCTCCAGCACGAGAACAAGAACGCGAACGAGACCGAGAACTGGCCGGAGTACCAGGCCCAGTGACATTAATAACGTGCCGAGCTCATTACTCAACAATTGTGTTTGTTGTTGTTGCAGCCGCAGCAGCCCTTTGCCGCAGACAAATGCGATCGAGCATTAGCGAGTAATAAATTCTCAGAGGCAGAGCCCATCTATTGGCCGTGCCTTGCAAGAAAGCGCCGACTTGTCGAGTCTAAGGCAGCCACAGTTGTGCTGGCTTGCTCCGCCTGGTCAGAGATTTTATCGCTGGGAATGTTTTGGCAGAGCCGCTGCCTCATTTGTCCTGCTCGTGTGAGAAGTTGTCAGCTAATTTGTGCGCGGACCTGGCCGCTCCAGCAAACCTTTCCCATGCCCCAATTGAGTTGAGCAATCAGCAAACAGAGAAATAACGGTTTGCTCAGCCGCCCACGCCAGCATCGAGAGGAAAATACTGCACGAGTCTGGATACACTCCAGATCGAATATATATGTTTATATATAGGTTAGGGCATAGCACTGTGTCACATCTAACATTTCGATTCAGTTCTGAAGCATCTCTGGTGGCTCCACTCATATTTCCCACTAGCATTCGGTATTTAATTTCACGGTGCACTGCGCCGAGCAAACAATGCCCACATATGGGGCCAGGGTCCAGAGCGTATTCCCAAAACTCTGGCCGGGACTGGCCCGCTGGCTGGCCGGCCAGCGTCTGGGCGGCTATAAAAAGTGAAGTTGCTCTGCAGCCACTTTCAGTTTCTAGGAGCAGAACACAGCGGTCGCTGCATCAAAGCGCCCGACGCGAGGCACAGGCAGAAATTGGAACAGCCAGTCCGATCGAGGCAGGCCAGAGGCAACAACGGCAACAACAACAACAGCAACTGCAACCAAGCTGCAGACAGCATGAGACTCACGCTCGCCTGGCTCTGGGTCTGCTTGGCGATTTATTGTAGCGGAGGCTTTGCCAACAACGGCCAAGGCAATGTGGTCTTATCTTTGCCACCATCGCTTATCGCGGCTACGGAGGTGGTGGCCTTGAGACAGCTGCAACAGCAGCAGCAGCAGCGGGAGCAACAGCAACAGCAAATGCTGCACGAGCAAGAGCGCTGGAAAAAGGATGCACGCGTCCTGTTTGACGGGGGCATCGATCCATCGGCAGATATGGTGCACAGTAAGGAGCCGGCATCCGCGGCTGGCAAACACATTTCGCCCTACAACCACGACCTGGAAGTGGAGCAGCAGCCACAGCCGCAGCCGACGGATTTTAATCGAAAAGCACTGAGCGAGGCTTATGATTTAGAGGCACGACAGCAATCAGTGCCGCAGGAAATTGCAACGCAGCATGGCCATGGCCATGGCCGTGCCACGCCCACGTTGCAGAATTTCTGGGCCAGGCACTGTCTGGCCGCCAACAATTGTCCACGCGAATACAATCGCGCTCTGGTGGCAGCCAGGTGAGTGAGCAGGATGTGTCCCTGTCTTCCTGGGTGGCAATCAGTCGAAGCCCAACGGGTCCAAGGTGACCTCAGAAAGTGTCCAAAAAGCAAGCAACGAACTTTCTCGAATCGGTTCATGTCGTCGTTAAGCCAATTAAAGGCGGTCTCCAATTTATCAAGTGTTCCAGCTCTAAAGTTGAGCTCGAGCTCGGGTCAAGCCTGGGCGCCAGGTTTTTAATCGCAATGCCAAAAGTCAACAATAAGAGCAACAAATCGTCGACAATTTGGCTGTCGGCCGAAAACACGCAAAACCAATTAATGGGCGTGAAAAAATCAGTTCGACGACGGCGAAGTTTTGTTTCTGCCACGCCGCATCGTGTATGCATATGTTGATTTATTTTATAAATTTTTCGCGAAATAACAACTGTCAGCAAATTCATTGGCCCCAAAACGAAACGAAACGAAACGAAATGAAACGAAAACAAAGCGAAACATTGCAACATGCATTAAGTTTCACTTTTCATTTCAGCTTAAAAGCCGAAAGGGACTCCGCGCCCCTGGCCATCCTGTGGCAAGTGAGAGAATCGGTGTCTGCCCCTGAAATTTTATTGCGGCTATAATAATTATTCTTATTTTGAATACCCTATACTCAGTCAGAATAATATTTATTTTATTTTAATATTTTAATTTATATTTATATTTATATTTATATTTGTATTTATATTTATATTTATATTTATATTTATTTTTATATTTATATTTATATTTATATTTATATTTATATTTATATTTATATTTATATTTATAT